GAGAGAGAGAGAGAGAGAGAGAGAAGAAACCGTGTGAGAGAGAGAAGAACCGTGTGCTGACACTATCGGACCGAAGAAACCGCCCTTATCAACGGGCAACGTGAATCCGGAAGCGGGGCGACATGCACAAAGGACAAAAAATATGGCGGTGTATCTGTCCATGTTCTGGCGGAAGATTCATCCATACGTTGGATGGTGGGGAGCGAAGGGCCAATGAATCAGGTAAGCACGTAACGTATCTCTAGAACCTTTTTTTTTTTTTTTTTGGAGAATCTCTGAACAAATGAGACTGAATCCTCCGCTTGAACATGGAAAGATACATTGCCATATATGTCTCGTTGTGCATGTCGAGAGTAGTGCAGCGAGCCCGTTGGTAAACATTACCGTTGAGGTTCTGACCGGTTGGACGGGCCGGGCTTCACTCGTGCAAAGAGCTGTTCTTCCTTTATGTTTTTTTCCTTTTATTAATAAAAAAAAATCCAGGAAAAACGGCTGCCAGTTCCGTCGTTTTCTACTTCAGAAGTAATACGAAGAGAACGTTTTGAGAGATCGCGACCCTCATCATGACTGAATCTGGCCTGCAAGAACCCTACCATACAGACTCCTATTACCGTTGAGGTTCTGACAGGTCGGACGTGCCGGGCGACCGTGCAAAGAAACTCTGATTTTCTTCCTTTAAAAAAAAAAAAAAAAAAAAACATTCCAGGAAAAACGGCTGTCAGTTCCGTCGTTTTCTACTTCCAAAGTAATAAGAAGAGAACGTTTTGAGAAATCGCGACCCTCATCATGACTGAATCTGGCCTGCAAGAACCCTACCATACAGACTGCAATAACCCTACCACACAAGTGTTACCCGAACTACAGGTTACTAAAAGCTTTCAGGCCAACGCGCAGCCTCCAAAAAAAATTTGGCTACCCGTTTCTTATTTTACGCGAGCAGGGGGCCACGTCTACTACCGCCCCTCACAACTTTTTTTTTTTTTTTTGACCCCCATTTTTGGAGGTGCGCCGCATGCAGTGCGCGCGCGTGGTGCGGGATGCGCGGTGCGGCACACGTGCGCAGTGCAGCACATCGCGATGCGCCTCATGTATGGTCTAGATACAGCGATAATGACCTTTGCTGCATTCAATTCGGGTGACAACAGTAGCGGCGCTACCTACGGCTACACCCATTAAAAGACCACCGGTACTTCCAAGCCTCTTTTTTTTCCCGATGCCGATTTCTGCTGCGGCCAGAGTTTTGTCAAACCGGCCCGGGCACGAAATCAAAATTTTTGAGCTGGCACCGGCAGCCTTTTCGATTTGGTAGGCTGAGGCACAAAAGACGAGGCGCGTTAAGGGCCGCATCAGATCGAAATAGCTGGGAAACAGTACTGGTGATTTAATGAATTGATACACAACTACACATTGTCAAAAATTCACTCATAAGATTATTTAGTTATTACTAATTTTAAAGCTCGCAGCCCCTCACACTGCCGGGTCCACCGGGACAATCAATAATCAAGAATTAATCATTAACAAATTAATAATAATTTATAAATTAATAATGAGTATTTATCACGGACTCTTCAATTGTGGTCTGCACTCAATCAGGTAACTAATTTTCGTGGGGATGCAAACGGTTGGCCACCCTTTTTTTTTTCCTTTTTTTTTTTTTTTTTCTCTCTCTCTCGGTTTTCCTCCCAACCGGATTGACACTGGGCCTCTCTGTTGAAAAGCAGCCTCTTTGGGCCCGATCCGATCCCCAATGAAAGAGTTTCAAATGCAACCTGTAGTGTCCAGCATCTGGGCCTGTTTGTGAGGCAGATACAGTGCAACGCAGTACTGCCAGACGTTTCCAAGGACTCGAGCTTTACCAACAAAGTACTGCATTCACCATCCTCAGCAGACCTGTGACTGATTGGGGAAAAAAGAAAACGAAAAAAAAAAGAAAGTACTGCCTTTAACCATTTGATCCTGTTACGTACTGTGTGACAGCACGCTTTGTTGTACTGTGGCTACGAGTGTGGTCGTCATGACTACGTGTGTGGTCTTTGTCCACTATTGCTCTCTCTCTCTCTCTCTCTCTCTCTCTCTCTCTCTCTCTCTCATCACCAACTTTCAAAATTAAAATAATTTGCGACGAAGAACAAACAATTACATAATTAATAGTATAATACATAGAGACTATTAGAGAGTCTACAGACAAAGCAAGCTTTTTTTTCCTTTTTTTTTTTCAGTGTTGGTGAACACACGAGTCCCAAAATTGTGAGGCCGTGGGGGGCTCCCAGGTGCAATTTGGAAGGGCGCTAAGTGAGTAGCCGCCTGCAGAAAAGGCGTGGCTCGGCCTGTTTTGTAAAACCGACGGGGTCAGACCAGTCACTGGCCTAGCCGGGAATCCTGAAACAGGCCATGGTCGCTTCCTCTTCCCAGATCCCGGTCTCTTTGCGGTTAGCGGTCGAAGCTTATCCACTTTCACACCCTTGCTTCATTCTCTCACAAGGCCTTCAAAGCGAAGCTGGGGGAAAATGAGGGTGGCGCTGCCAAACTGAACGAAGCAAACGACTCTCAGAAGGCCTTCGGTTTGGAAGAGACGCTGAGGAAAAACGAGGCACGGGCGGGGGATGCAGGCAGCAAAGGGAACCGTAGCAGGAAGCAAGAAACTGTTCTACACCCAAAGAAGGAAATGCCATTCGCTACATGTCTAGATGTAATTGACCCAACTTGCAGTCTAGATACAGCGATAACGACCTCAGAAGGCATTCGGTTTGAAAGCGATGCTGAGGAAAAGCAAGGCACGGGCGGAGGCCGAAGGCAGGAAAGAAAACTGTAGCAGGGTAAGCAAGAACCTGTTCTACACCCAACGAAGGAAATGTCATTTGCTACTTGTCTATAGTGAACAATACGCAGCACGAGTGGCCTTCCGAGGAAGGTGTAGAGCCAGCAGAGGTGGATGATGGTAATGATGCTCAGTACCGATGAGGCTCGGTGTGTAGGTCCTTGGAGTGGCTCGGTGGGAAGATGCTCAGAAACAAGGAGTCGGCAATGCCAGTAAAGGACAAGGGAAAGGGAATGACAGGACAGCCATCTCCGCGGAGTTAAGGTAAAGGTCAGGCACAACCATTATTATGTCAGCAAAGGTCAGGCACAACCATTATTATGTCAGCACCGACAGCGACAGCATGGGAGTACACCATAACTTATCAAGGGCGCTCTGGTGAGACAACACGAATAAGGAAGCATCCATGCGATGTGGCGAGGTAGGGCACACTAAGAAGTTCTATCCATAGGGAAACAAGTCAGGTCAG